CCCCGCTGCCGAGTGTCCTCATGCCGAGGTCCCCGCTCCGGCTGCCAGCTCCTCCTCGGAGCGGGAGGAAAGCGCCCGAGCGCTCCGGGAACCGGGAACGTGAATGGGGCGAGCGGCCAAGTGCCGCTCGGTCTCGGGCCTCGGCTTTCAAATAACCTCCAGCTGTCTGGAGCGACCCGCTTCGAACTTCAACCACAGTTCAGAAATAGCATCTATCTCTCTGTTACGAGAGTAATGGTATTTTTTTTTTAAACTCATTACGTGGACATTCATGTCATGCAATCATCTTAAGCAGATCTAATGCTTGAAATAACCAAATGACAATTTTTATTTTTTTAATAATCTTCTTTAGAAACAACTGTTCTTAAAGCCTCTCTCCTAAGCAAATGTTTGCTTGTAGTATAAATGCTCTCAGAAGGACATTGTCCCTGCCACCTGCGCAGGGAATTTCTGTGTCCTTTCAGCATGACCTCCAGGAAAATACACTAAGTTTTCCTCTTATGCCAAAGTGTATTTCTGGGAGACAGCAGGCTGCAAAATCAGCACTACGGTAGGTAGAAGAATGAAGGATGCTCCTCTTGCCGATTTGTGCTGCCTAAAGACAAGCCTAATGGTTACTGAGGGGCTGGTTCCCATGCGTGTTTGTGTGTTTGGTTTGTCCTCAAGACCTGTGTGCCTTGTTGGACACCGCGGATGGGGCTTGCTGGCATGGCAGAGAAGCAGCAGGAGCTCCCTAAGGACACCAGTTGGTTTTAATCCGCTTGCCAAGAAGTTTCCTTGCTGCAAAGTTGAAACCTGGGCTCGTTTGAGTGTTTTATTTGGAAGTGTTGCACGTTTACCTCGCCGCTGCCTTCCCAAGAGATGAGGGTAGTGCTCATCTTTCTTTGTAGTATGCTGTTCTGTGGAAGACTTGCACGGTGAACATGATGGTGCTGGATGTTCCTGGCCATTCCTTTTCTACTTATAGTGAGAGCTGCATAGAAATGCCTAAAATGCCTATATCCTGTGTGATCTTTGGTAAAACTTAGCTGTTGTTTCCTGTGGGGAGAGCTGCCCCCTGTTTTCCTGGAGAGGTGGGGAGCTGAGACAGGGGGAAGGAGTCTTGCTATGAAGCCCTAGATGCCTGATGGGGACCACGCTCCTATAACCAGTAGCAGGGCAATGTTCCGTGCTGTTCCCTGGAGATGCCTTTGCTTCCATCCGAGAAATCCAGGGAGAGCGGAAGTCCCAGTAGCCTGAAGTGTGGCAGTACGATATCCCAGAGGATCTGCCTAGTGTATCAGAGGTGGCCTGTAGCAGTCAGGAGACAAAATTTGGAGATGCTACAGTTCAGATTAGTCTCCGGGACAAGTATTTTCCATCACTAAAACAAGCTGAATGGAAGTGAAAGCATTTATGCAATGTGTCTGCCTGTCAGAGGTATTGTGAAGAGTGTGTAAGTTTCATCTCTCTCTTCCCCCAGGGTTCAACTGTCTTGGCCCAGGAAAGGGGGACTTTTCGCTCTGCAGGAACGGATAAGCAGGCGTGAAGGATGAGGGTGAACTCTGCTATCCAGGCTGCCATTGACCTCACAGCAGGAGCCGCAGGTAACGGTGGGGAGAGCTCAACTGCACGAAACTTCTGCAGTCATCTCCGCTCCTGAGGAGCGTGGTGGGCAGTGAAACTTCAGGCAGTGGTGGAGGTGCACCATCATGCCTCCTTAGCGAGCGAGAAATGTGTAACCTTTATTTTAGAGTAATAATTTCCAAGAGTAGATCCAAGTGCCAGTGTCAGGTTTTCATGCTTACATGAGTTCTGGAATATCATGGCAGGCAGAGCTTTGCCATAAACCCGTTCAGTGAATGAGTGACTGGAATAACATGCCTGCTGCAGAATTCCCTGTATGGAAAGCAGGCAAGAGGCTCAAACCATATTCAAATGGAAATCTTTGAAAGCTGAGAAACTTAACAGCATGACTGGTGTTCATTAATTCACTTACCCAGCTTCTGCTTAGGACTGGGCTGTGCAATAAAGTTTTGTGGCAGTTGTCACAGCTGGTCCTAGTGTGGGAAAAGCTGCACATTTCTGCATGTTACGACCATAGTAATGAGGAGGGATGAACTGGCTGTTAACTCTGCTGAGGAAAGGGATCTTCTTGATGTTTGAAGTTTTATTTTGAGGGGCAATACGGCTGCAGCAGTACTGGCAAAGCTTTTGTCACGAGGACAGTTGTAGCCACAAAGAGAAGCCAGTTTCCCAGAGAAGTTTGTGATGTCCAGAACAGATGAAACATTGGGCAGGAACAGTTAATATGATGTTTTATGCAGAAAAAGTAGAATGAAAGAATTATCTAATGTGCTGCTGCCATTTTTTTTCCCCTTGCTCATACCATGGCTCTTGTAGTTGGTCTTTTATGTGACTGCTACTGCCATGGATACAACCGCATTAATGGTATTAAGTGCCTTCAGTTTAAGGGTAGTTCTTGGAGGTTGGTTGTCAGTTACCTCAGGACAGTAAGGAAGTGAGGATGGCAGCTTGTATAAATACAGTGTAGCACTTCCTTAAAGCATTTGGTCTTCCACTGTGTTTTGCCCAGTGAATACCTGCTTTGTGCTCATTGACCTTGTTCCCCTGCGAGGAAAGAGAAGTGTTTCTCCTATTATTCTTCCATGACCTTAGAAAAATCCAACTCTGTTAGTCTGTTTTCCTCTGTTTGTCCTTTTGGGTATAGAATAGCTATAGCATCTGCTCTGTTTTAAAAGTAGCAGCTTACTATCAGTGCAGTTCTTGGCTGTCATGCTGCTTTCTCCTCTGGTGTAATCCTTTCTTCAGGTGGCTTGAAGGAATTTGGGTCTCTCTCAGCACAACTTCAGTATTCCTAAGTCATTGTTCTTGCTCCTTGCTTTGCTACCCCTGTTGTAAGAGAAGGTTTTGGTGTTGCTCTATTACTTGTTTATTTTTCACACAGTTTCCACCAACTGGCTCTGTACTGCTTACATTCGTTGGTAGTCAGGGATCCCTGCTCCCTCTAGGAACATCATTTAACACAGCACACAGCATTTGGCTCCTGAACAAGCTAAATGCATAACCTGCCTTTCCAGACAGTCTTTACTAGCTGGTAGGTAATGCTGTATTAGTTAGAACCCTTTCTTTCAGGGGCAAATAAAATCTGAACAAGAGAGGACAAGTTACTTAGCTGCCCGTGAGTCATATTCTTGGATTAGGATCTGAGCAACCCTCAATTATTCCTCCTTGGTTAAGCAGGACTCTATTCCCAGATGAACCAGAGCAGCCTTACTTTTCTTCTCCCTTAGAGGAAAAATAAGTAGATTGTATTAGCTGGGTTCACACATGCCATCTTGTTTTTACTTCAGTCTTTTTATATTATTGGGATAATTATTTCAATCTCATAACTGAAAAGCAGCACCTTGTTAATTTGCCCTCTTTAAGGTACACGTGTGCCAACTGTGCTTTGGTAGGAAATCAAGTTCTGCTTCAGGATAGTTCTTTTTAAAACACCAAAACTATGAAATTCATACAAGACATTCTCTGCTTGCTGCTAGAGTTCCCAATATGCTGCTGTCATAAAACAACTTCTTAAAGAAATCCTAATGTGTAATCTCAGGCTTTTCTCCAGACTGTTGGATTAACTTGGATCTCATGGAAAAATACGACAGTGTGGGCAATGTGGTTATAGAAGACATTGATGTAAAACTATCTGACAAGTTTCTAGGGTGTTGACCTTGCAGTTCTGTTTGGACAAGATAACATGTTGAGAAACGTTGCCCTCTTGCCCTTTTTTAACTTCTCCTGGACAGTCTCTTACAGTATGTGGGAATAAATGTAAATAGGAGTCATCTGGAGTCTTGAAATTAAGGATTTACCTTTGGTTATCAGTCTATCATGTCTCATTAGTTTCAACAGCAGTTCTCTCAGCAGTGTTCTTGTCCTGAAATAGTCTTTAAGACAAATCTTCGCATCGCGTGGTTACAGTTCTTGCAGTTTTATTGTTGCTGGCACATAATAATTGGGCCTCTGAACTACTACATTGATGAGCAAGGTGAGAGATGAGGTTTATAATCACAAGTGACTCAATTGAAGGACAATAACTTGTATTAAGTGCCTATTTATATAAGTAAACTGATTACTCAAAATGCTTATTTTTATTAAGCTAAAGAAATGTTTTATGAGAATCAAGCTGCTCCTGCACTTACACACGCGGGATTTTGCTTGTTTGCTTTTCCCCCTTGCGAGAAGCTAAAATCACCACTGACTTCCTAGATGCCATTGCACTAAAATCAGAGTTGCCTTTCCAGCAGAGAATTCCTCCATCCCTGCCCCTGCACAACTGAAGTAACAGTGTTTTATGTACCTAGGCCCTTTGCTCGTGATAACCTTCTGTCCCCTTCTCAACTTGCCCTGGTGCTTAGGTGGGACTGCGTGTGTGGTGACCGGGCAGCCCTTTGACACAGCCAAGGTGAAGATGCAGACGTTCCCTGAGATGTATAAAGGAGTCGTGGACTGTTTTGTGAAAACCTACAAGCAGGTGGGACTTCGAGGCTTCTACAAAGGGACCACCCCGGCCCTCGTAGCCAACATCGCGGAGAACTCCGTGCTCTTCATGTGCTACGGGTTTTGCCAGCAAATTGTGAGGAAAATTGTCGGAGTAGACAGGAAAACAAAACTCAGGTTAGTAACAAATCAGGTTTGTCTTGAAATATATATATAAAATAATGTGACCGCTATTTGTAAATGTTGTCATGATACATCTGAGATGCACCAGGCCTCTCCTTACCGCATATGCTGCACATGTTTTGGGATATTGATTTTTATGCTAGAGTATGGCATCTAACTACAGCAGAGCAGTCTGCTTGTCACTGCAGCTGCCTGGTTTGGGTAGTCACAGCTTAAATGGCATGTCTAAGACCTGAAATACTTCCTCAGAGGGACTGAGCATTGCAGCACCTCTGAAGTTGGCATTCCCTCTACCCCTTATGCCCTGACTTTTCAGGGTACGTATTGGTGCCTCTCACTGGGAGACATACTGAAGGGAAAGGGCTTTTTTTTTCTGATTTTTGCCTTGTAGGTTCTTTGTGGGTTTTTGTTGTTGTTGTTGTTGTTTGTTTGTTTGTTTTTCTGCTCTTGCTGTAAAGGCTTGACCATAATAGCCATGGTGGCTGGACTGGAGTTCAGTTGAGCCCAGTGTGTGTCTACAGCCCTGTTAACAGCTGGGGTCACCTGGGGACAGGAAAGAAGGGAGGATCCATCTGATATTTCTTCCGAGGCTGCTGCCAGCCTCGGTTCAGTTATTCTTAGTTCAGGGGATTCATTAATCACAGTGTGATTAGCTCAGTCAGTGGCTTTAGTGGCTCCCTCTGGAGAGATCCTAACTACCCTAACCCCCTTGGGCTGGGCTGCTGCAAGGTTGAGGCACGTCCAGCTTCTCATGAGCAGCTTTGCTCTGGCTTTGGTCACTGCCAGCCCTGAGTGCAGTGGCTGAAGAGCCGGGGTTCTCTGCCTCTGATGGAACACGAATAGCTACAGAAGTGCAAGGCAGAGATCCAAAAGCAACACCACACACCTCCTGTCATGTGCTAAGATGTGCTGCACGCTAGTCTGAGGCTTGGAATGAGGCCATATGAGGTGATGAAGCAGCAAGTTATATCAACTGCTTTCTATATGCGTTTTCTTTCACCATTATTTTCTCTCAGTTGAGACAGAATTGTTATCACCTTTTTTATTACTACTGTAGATCAGGAATTTTCAGCTGGCTTAGCTTGTAGGCCGTGCATTTCTTTTCCCATGGAAGGTGGGCTGTAGGCCTGGGGACAGCATGCTGCCTTAGTTGCCTCCTACTTGCAGAGGGCCCGGGATAACTTCTTGGAAGCCACAGATTGAGGAGTGCCGGGTGCTTGTTTATGATCCGTGTAGCTGGAGCAGTCCAGGAAGCTTCCTAACAGGGCACACCAGTGTGTTGCCCATCTTCAGAGCAGGACACAGAATGGGAAGGTAAACTGAATATCTAGCAATAGCCAGTGCCCTTGGCACCTTGCTCAGACACCACCACTTTTCCAGGCTACCTGCCCAATACTTTGAGATCTCCCTGTTCACTCCGAGCAACAATGCCAAACAGGACTGCACTGGGACCAAACACGAGAGGATTTAGTTTTCCTGGAAAGGTTTCTCCCCCAGCCCTACTCTCTTCACCCAGATCATCATGGGGGTCCCCTTTGGGAGGCCTTCGTCGTGCCACACATAGAGAAACTGTCCTGCTCTCTTAGCCCCAAGCAGAAGACGTGCAAAGCCTCAAACTGAGGTGAATGTGACTGTTTTTCTCTTACCCATGTTTAAGCAATAGCTTTCTTCCATGCACACTATTTTATGGTCTCTGAGATTTCTCAAAATCAACTAGTGTGTCTTGCTTTTGCTTTAAACTGCCTCTTCGGTAACATGTTTAAATTGCTTGGAAATAAACTTGTCCAGCCTCCCTGTGGTCAGGGAGCCCTTGCTTAGTGTGGGAACTCTGAAAAACAGTCACAAAGACAATTAGAAAACAGCACTTTTTCCAGCGAAAGGAATACATATCACTGAGATGTGAGACAAAAAGAGAGGTGGGAAGAGAAGTGCTAAATTCCATTACTCTTTAAATGTCTATCTAATTCAACTGAACTTATTGGTGTTCATGCTAAAGTCTAAACTGAGGCAATTATTATCCATGCTCACCTCAGTCTGACTTTCTCGGTACGTGACTAATCTACTTCAACAGATTATTTGCTTTGAAAAACAAGATAAATTTCTCTTATAGAAGCATCAGCATAAAGTAAAACTTTTTTTGTTCCTGTGCTGTGATGGTCAAAACTTTTCCACTGAGAAGAATGCTGAATGAGGCGTTTTCCATTGAGATGGAACTTGCACAGGATCCAAGACTTCTCACTTCTGCAATGGAGTTCAGTACATTAAAGACCAACACCTGGACAGCAAATCAAGTTGAACTGTTGCATGTGGAATTAAAAACATGACAGGCAAAGCAGGAAAGATCTGAATTATGCCTTAGTCCTTTACATACGTTCCTCAGAGCCTACACAACATGGAAATGATGCTCTTTTTTCACACAAAGGGATAGGGTTCTGTGTGCTCTTAGTGTGTAGTTGAAGTCTTAAGATGGAAGAGGTGCCCTGCAGTGTGTAACCTTACTGCCTAGCCCTAACCCATAGCTTAATGACTGCAAGAAGCAGTCACATACTGTGACATACGTATTTTTGACTGCCTTGTGCTCCAGCAACCTTGAGCTTTAGCAGGCTGCATCGCAGCTCGCTGTTGCACCAAGCTGTGTGCTGCAGAAGGGTCATGAAATCAGTGCTGTAACTGCTGTTCACTCCCTGTACGCTCCTCAGGTGCTGCTCTGCAGGCAATGACAGATTTCTTACTTCTTTTGCAGTTCTTGTCACTATATTTCACAAGCAGTAGCTTAGTGTTGTGTCGCTCCTGTGAGGTGAGAAGCAGCTTTAATCCTTCTGTGATACTGCAGGTGCTCAGAACCGCTGGGCACAGAGTCACCTCATGGGAGAAGCTCCACTTTGGTGCTTTGCTGTCACATGGCTCCCGTCCAAGACACCATGATCTGGAGCAAGAGGCTTTAAGCATATCATAAGCAGTGCAATTTTGGCAGTTTATGCCAGGACTGTGACAGTCCTGGCAGTTTTTCAGTCCAGTCTTTGCGATATTTGAAATATCATCTACCACAGAATAAGTTCACAGTATTATAAGCTTATAATACTGTGAGCTAATGCAGGCTACAGGGCTGTCCTGTTTGGTGCTTATCTGCAGCAGCTGTGTCATACAGTTGCCTTCATGAAAGCAGCTCATCTACATCACAGGTTTTAACAGTCTAGCATTCCCTGCTTTCCGAGTTTTAGCATCTTCCACTTGAAAATACTGGGTCTGAGAGCACTAAGATCTGTATAAGGCAATTCTTTCCCGTGTTTCCCTTTTGGAAGTGATTAGTCCCCCAGAGTTGCCCAGTAAAACAGTCTAAAGAAATTCTTATTGACGCCCAGAAAGGAAAGGTTTGCCTATGTTTATTCCACTGCAATCACTAAAATATAGTAGAAAGGGTAAGGGTTGCAATACGAATCCTTCCCTTGACACCTAGGGAGCCATCCGAGCTGCATACGAAGATGAAATTAGTTTTTTCCATGTCCGTAGGCCAAGCAGCTGCACTTTCCCCTTGGGGCCCTCCTTCCCGCAGGAGTGTCCTTGGCGCTCTCCCCGGGCCGCGGGCTGGGGAGCGCAGTGCCCCGGCACCCGCCGCAGTGTCTCTCTTGCAGCGACCTGCAGAACGCCGCCGCCGGCTCCTTCGCCTCCGCCTTCGCCACCCTCGTGCTGTGCCCCACGGAGCTGGTGAAGTGCCGCCTGCAGGCCATGCACGAAATGCAGCTCTCGGGAAGGGTGCTGCAGGGACACAAGTAAGTGCAGCCCCGCTGAAGGCCCCTGCCGCGGGCGGCCCTGGCACGCGTCCCCAGCGTCACGTTTGTGCTGCTGGCCAAGGAGGAGACCGGATTCCCTGCACGCAAAGCCAGGAGCTGCTGACGGGCTCCAGGCAGAATCCGCTTCTAACTCTGCCCAGCTCCTGCTGTCTGTGCAGTGTGTCTGAGCCTCAACGATAGTTGCAGAATCACAGAATGACAGAAGGGTTGAGGTCAGAAGGGGCCTTTAGGGATCATCTAGTC